GCAACCTCCGCCAGGGGGAGGAGGAGGATGAGGGGGAGAAGGAGGAGAGGGGAGAGGAGGAGGAAGAGGATGTGGGGGAAGATAGCCGTGACCATTTGTTGAATTAGGTTTTCGACTACCACTCGCGCGATGACGGCAAGGTATGAAACACATTAAATAATTTAAAACATATGATTTTAGAGTAGGTCAGCGAGACTGAAGTCGGGCATGCCCTTCTAGTTTGTTGTGAACTCCCTGTATGCATGTGTGACATGTGTATGTATGTATGTATGTATGTATGTATGTATGTATGTTTGTATGTATGTATGTGTGTGTATGTGTGTATGTATATGTGTATGCATATGTATGTTTGCATGTATGGGTGTATACGTCTATGTATGCGTGTGCATGTATGTATGTATGTACGTACGTGTGCATGCATGCATGCGTGTGTGCATGCATGCATGTATGTATATCTATGCACATGTATATACAACACACAAAGTTTCCCACTGTAGGGAGGGGAGGGACTGGCTCAGGGGGGAAGCGCCGACCTGGAATCGGCGATACATCGCCAACAGGTTGGCGATGGGCCCCCGATAGCGGGTCCGCTCGTTCCACCGCATGGGGGGGTTATCTGGCCCCCGTCGGCGACGAATGGGCTATCTGTGGTCGATGCATACCCACCCGAGCCTATCCCCCCCTAGCGGTATCTCCTCCCTCATCCTTCCTCCATCTCCTCTCGGCGGCGAGATCCGGGACGGAAGCGAGGGGGCAGGCCATCCCAGAAGGCGGCGGAGCTACTCAGAAAACCCCCGCGCCTTCTGAGAAGCCGCCCGTGTCTGCGGAGAGTTGCGCCCCGCCGTTCGCCGGGCCGCCCGATGCACCCGCCTGGCCGCAAGGACCCCCAACTTAGCCTGGCGAAGGACCCAGCCATATGTAGTTGTGCATACCTCAATTATGGGTATCGTATTCGGTGGAGCTCCCTATGCGGCCACGAAGCGCTGCAGTGGGTGGAGGAAACGCATTCGAAATTTGCCACTCGGGCCTTCGGTGGAGCTCCCTATGGGGACACGAAATGTTGCACTGGGCGGGGGGAACGCATGCGGACTTTGCCACTGTGGCTTCCGGTGGAGCTCCCTTTGGGCCACGAAACGTTGTACTGGGTGGTAGCTGACGCATGCGGGCGGTGCCACTGAGACCTTCCGTGGAGCTCCCTATGGGGCCACGAAGCGCTGTACTGGGTGGGTGAAGCGCAGGGAGCAAGGGGTATGTTTGGTGGTGGCGGACGCATGCGGGCGGTGCCACTGGGACCTTCCGTGGAGCCCTTCCAATGGGGCCACGAGGCGCTGTACTGGGTGGGCGGACCGCATGGAGCAAGGGCTGTGGTGGGTGATGGCGGACGCATGCGGGCGGTGCCACTGGGACCTTCGGTGGAGCCCCCTATGGGGCCACGACGCGCTCTGCTGGGTGGGTGAAACGCAGGGAGCAATGGCTGTGCTGGGTGGTGGCTGACGCACGCGGGCGGTGCCACTGGGACCTTCGCTGGAGCCCCCTATGGGGCCACGAAGCGTTGTACTGGGTGGGTGAAACGCAGGGAGCAAGGGCTGTGCTGGGTGGTAGCTGACGCATGCGGGCGGTGCCACTGGGACCTTGGGTGGAACCTCTCTTCTGGGGCCACGAAACGCTGTTCAGGGTGGGTGAAACGCAAGGAGCAAAGGCTGTTCTGGGTGGTAGCGGACGCATGCGTGCGGTGCCATTGGGACCTTCGGTGGAACCCTCTATGGGGCCACGAAGCGCTGTACTGGGTGGGCGAAAGGCAAGGAGCAATGGCTGTGCTGGGTGGTGGCGGACGCATGCGGGCGGTGCCACTGGCACCTTCGGTGGAGTTTTCTATGGGGCCACGGAACGCTGTACCTGGGCGGGTGAAGCGCAGGGAGGAAGGGCCGTGCTGGGTGGTGGCGGAAGCATGCGGGCGGTGCCACTGGGACCTCCGCTGGAGCTCTCTATGGGACCACGAAGCGCTGTACTGGGTGGGTGAAACGCAGGGAGCAAGGAGGAACCAACCACATGCAGTTGTAAATACCGCAGTTCGGAATATCTTCTTCGGTGGAGCTCCCTATGGGGCCACGAAACGCTGTAATGCGTGGGTGAAACGCAGGGAGCAAGGGCTGTGCTGGGTGGTGGCTGACGCATGCGGGCGGTGCCACTGGGAACTTCGCTGGAGCCCCCTATGGGGCCACGACGCGCTCTGCTGGGTGGGTGAAACGCAGGGAGCAATGGCTGTGCTGGGTGGTGGCTGACGCATGCGGGCGGTGCCACTGGGACCTTCGCTGGAGCTCCCTATGGGGCCACGAAGCGCTGTACTGGGTGGGCGAAACGCAGGGAGCAAGGACTGTGCTGAGCGGTGGCCGGCGCACGCGGGCGGTGCCAGTGGGACCTTCGGTGGACCTCCCGATGGGGCCGCGAAGCGCTGTACTGGGTGGGTGAAACGTAGGGAGGAGGGGGAGGGGAGGAGGGCCACGAAACGCTGGATTGGGTGGGGGGGACGCATGCGGACGGTAGACTTGGAACCTTCGGTGGAGCTCCCTATGAGGCCACGAAACGCTGTACTGGGTGGGTGAAGCGCAGGGGGGAGGGGAGGAGGGCCACGAAAAGTTGTACTGGGTGGGGCGGACGCACGCGGACGGTAGACCTGCAACCTTCGGTGGAGGGCCCTATGGGGCGACGAAGCGCTGTACTGGGTGAGTGGAACGCAAGGGGGGGGGGGAGGAGGGCCACGAAACGCTGTACTGGGTGGAGGGGACGCATGCGGACGGTAGACGTGGAACCTTCGGTGAGCTCCCTATGGGGCCACGAAGCGGTGTACTGGGTGGGTGAAAAGCAGGTAGGAAGGGGAGGAGGGCCACAAAACGCTGTACTGGGTGGAGGGGACGCATGCGGACGGTAGGCCTGGAACCTTCGGTGGAGCTCCCTATGGGGCCACAAAACGCTGTACTGGGTGGGTGAAACGCAGGGAGGAGGGGTACGAAACGCTGTACTGGGTGGGGGGGACGCATGCAGACGGTAGACCTGGAACCTTCGGTGGAGCTCCCTATGGGGCCACGACCCGCTGTACTGGGTGGGTGAAGCGCAGGGAGGAGGAGGGGGGGCCACGAGACGCTGTACTGGGTGGAGGGGACGCATGCGGACGGTAGACCGGGAACCTTCGGTGGAGCTCCCTATGGGGCGACGAAACGCTGAACTGGGTGGGTAAAACGCAGGGAAGAAGGGAAGGACGAGGAGGAGGGTGAGGAGGTGGACGAGGAGAGGAGGAGGAGAGGAGGAGGAGGAGGAGGAGGAGGAGGAAGAGGAACGCGGGGACCGTCTCTTCATAACGAAAACCCAACACCACAGAGCGGTTGGGAATTAGCCTGGCGAAGGACCCAACCATATGCAGTTGTGAGTACAGCAATGATGAATATCTTCTTCGGTGGAGCTCCCTTTGGGGCCAAGAAGCGCTGTATTGGGCGGGTGAAGCGCGGGGAGCAAGGGCTGTGCTGGGTGGTGGCTGACGCATGCGGGCGGTGCCCCTGAGACCTTCGGTGGAGCTCCCTATGGGGCCACGGAGCGCTGCACTGGGTGGGCGAAGCGCAGGGAGCAATGGCTGTGCTGGGCGGTGGCGGACGCATGCGGGCGGTGCCAGTGGGACCTTCGCTGGAGCCCCCTATGGGGCCACGAAGCGCTGTACTGCGTGGGTGAAACGCAGGGAGCAAGGGCTGTGCTGGGTGGAGGCTGACGCATGCGGGCGGTGCCACTGAGACCTTCGGTGGAGCTCCCTATGGGGCCACGAAGCGCTGTCCTGGGTGGGTGAAACGCAGGGAACAATGGCTGTGCTGGGCGGTGGCCGGCGCATGCGGGCGGTGCCAGTGGGACCTTCGGTGGAGCTCACTATGGGGGCACGAAGCGCTGTACTGGGTGGGTAAAACGCAGGGAAGAGGGGGAGGAGGGCCACGAAACGCTGTACTGGGTGGGACCTTCGGTGGAGCTCCCTATGGGGCCACGAAGCGGTGTACTGGGTGGGTGAAGCGCAGGGAGGAGGGGGAGGAGGGCCACGAAACGCTGTACTGGGGGGGGGGGACGCATGCGGACGGTAGACCTGAAACCTTCGGTGGAGCTCCCTATGGGGCCACAAAACGCTGTACTGGGTGGGTGAAACGCAGGGAGGAGGGGGAGGAGGGCCACGAAACGCTGTACTGGGTGGCGGGGACGCACGCGGACGGTAGACCTGAAACCTTCGGTGGAGCTCCCTATGGGGCCACGAAGCGGTGTACTGGGTGGGTGAAACGCAGGGAGGAGGGGGAGGAGGGCGACGAAACGTTGTACTTGGTGGGGGGCCACGAAACGGTGTACTGGGTGGGTGAAACGCAGGGACGAGGGGGAGGAGGGCCACGAAACGCTGTACTGCGTGGGGGGGGACGCATGCGGACGGTAGACCTGGAACCTTCGGTGGAGCTCCCTATGGGGCTACGAAGCGCTGTGCTGGGTGGGTGAAACGTAAGGAAAAAGGCGAGGAGGGAGGAGGATGGGGGAGGAGGAGGAGGAGAGGAGGAGGACAGGAGGAGGAGGAACGCGGGGACCGTCTCTTCAAAACGAAGACCCAACACCACAGGATGGTTGGGAAATACCCTCCACCAAATCGGCAAAAGTAGTCAAACAATCGTCCCCGGATTATTGTTTCACTGATTTTAAATCTTCCTCCTGTAGAGGTAGAGGGACAGGCCCGACTTAATCCTGGGCTCGCCGTCTCCTCCTGGGGGAACCCGAAGGTCTCGATGCCGCTGCTCCCTGGACTTCTCCCACGGTGCGCTCTGGCCGAAATTTCGAAGCGAACCCACCAGTGGCGACGAGGGCCGCTTGGGAGGCCCCCAAAAATTTGAAGAAAACGAAGGACTGGTGGCAGCATGAGCACTTTTTTCTCCTCTGACCTCCCCCCCGGCTCTGAACTCATCCTTCCTCCTCCGCCCCTCCCTGCCCCCGTCCTCGTCCAGGATGGCCGAGGCCCTGTCCTGCTCCGCATCCTGCGTCCCTCGCCGGGCGGGGCTGCCGCCGCAGCGGCAGCGGGGAGGGGTGGCAGGATAAGGACGGCGAGGAACAGGCGCGGCACGGAGAAGGCCCTCCCCCCCTTTCCACAAACACGCTCACAACCGCACAGCCACAACCGCACACAAACACATACACACACACACACACACACACGCACACACACACACACAACCGCAAACACACACACACACTCACACACACACACAACGCACACACACACACACACACACACACACACACACACGCACACACACACTTTTGCGTCGGCGGCTAAGCAAAATGACCGCGCTGGCGAAAGAGCAATGTCCGCGCACGCACACACACACACACACACGCACGCACACACACGCACACACACACACACACACACGCAGGCACACACACACACATTCACACACTCACACTCACCCTCACACGCGTACATTGCCCTCATCAGCATCATCCGCACCAGCGTCAAACACCTTCGTCCGCATCGCCGACATCACCATCATCACATCAACGTTACACCCCAACCTGAACAACAGCATCATTCAGCTCTGACCAGCGTGCAAAACGGATCCATCCAACATCACTTTCCTTCGTAAAGTCGCGCGGGCCGCTGCCAGCAAACGTTTTCTGCATTGCGCGGGGGATGCTTCGCCTGGAAGGCCGCGACCCAAATCCACCGCGCAGCGGCGACGGCGCGTCGCCGACGACCCCAAAAAACGAAGCCCGATGGTGCCTTCCCCACCCAGGCTCGCCCCCCCCTACTGCCACTCTCTGCGGACCCCCCCTCCTCCATCCCAGCCCAAACAGCTTTCTCCCCCCAGAAAAACCCCTCCCACCTAACCCCCCTGCCTCTCCGGAACATCGGGGGGGGGCCACTACGGGTTCGAACACCCCCCCCTCCCCCCACAATCATCCTGGCGAAGGACCCAACCATATTCAGTTGTGAACAACGCATTGTGGGTGCCGTCATCGGTGGGACACGACACGCGTGAGGGGCGCGCCGTAATCGGTGTGGCGGACGCGCGCGGGCACCCCCACTGGGGCCTTCGGTGGAGCCCCTTATGGGGCCACGAAACGCTGTGCTGGGTGTGGCGGGCGCACGCGGGCACCCCCACTGGGACCTTCGGTGGAGCTCCTATGGGGCCACGAAACGCTGTGCTGGGTGTGGCGGACGCATGCGGGCACCCCCACTGGGGCTTTCGGTGGAGCTCCCTATGGGGCCACGAAGCGCTGTGCTGGGTGTGGCGGACGCATGCGGGCACCCACACTGGGGCCTTCCGGTGGAGCTCCCAATGAGGCCACGAAATGCTGTGCTGGGTGTGGCGGACGCATGCGGGCACCCCCACTGGGGCCTTCGGTGGAGCTCCCTGATGGGGCCACGAAGCGCTGTGCTGGGTGTGGCGGACGCATGCGGGCACCCCTACTGGCGCCTTCGGTGGAGCTCCCCATGGGGCCACGACGCGCTGTGGCGGACGCATGTGGGCACCCCCACTGGGGCCTTCCGTGGAGATCCTTATGGGACCACGAAGCGCTGCAGTGCTGAGTGTGGCGGACGCATGCGGGCACCCCCACTGGGGCCTTCGGTGGAGCTCCCTATGGGGCCACGAAACGCTGTGCTGGGTGTGGCGGACGCATGCGGGCACCCCCACTGGGGCCTTCGGTGGAGCTCCTGTGGGGCCACGAAGCGCTGTGCTGGGTGTGGCGGACGCATGCGGGCGGTGCCACAGGGACCTTCGGTGGAGCCCCCTATGGGGCCACGAAGCGCTGTGCTGGGTGTGGCGGACGCATGCGGGCACCCCCACTGGGGCCTTCGATGGAGCTCCCTATGGGGCCACGAACCGCTGTGCTGGGTGTGGCGGACGCATGCGGGCACCCCTACTGGCGCCTTCGGTGGAGCTCCCAATGGGGCCACGAAACGCTGTGCTGGGTGTGGCGGGCGCATGCGGGCACCCCCACTGGGGCCTTCGGTGGAGCTCCCAATGGGGCCACGAAACGCTGTGCTGGGTGTGGCGGGCGCATGCGGGCACCCCCACTGGGGCCTTCGGTGGAGCTCCCTATGGGACCACGAAGCGCTGTGCTGGGTG